CGGGACTTTAATGGGGGGGTCATTAACGGGGGGGTCAGAAAAGTTCCCCTTTCGTGCCCCTTTCGGGCCCCTCCAGAGCCCCAGAGGGCTCGTTTAGGTACCGTTTGGGTACCTTTTCGAACCACCCTTGCCACCCCCCCATTTACGACCCCCCGTCATTACGCGGCGCCCAACTTCCTCGCAAGGGCCAAGCCGATTGGGGGGCCAGGCGCCGCGAGGTCGACCCGTCGCAGCTCGTCCGCGAGCGCTGCCGGGCCATCGGGGCGGGGCCGAGGGGGGGGCGGCGGCCGAGCGCCTACAGGGCTGCAGCGAGGCGGCCACGACGCGCGCGCCATCAGCCACGAGATGGAGGAGTTCGCGAAGAAGGGCCCCTTCGACACGCTGGCCCTCGACCTCTGCGTCGCGCCAGGGGCCCAGCCGCCGCGGGCGCGCCCGGTCGAAGCGAGCTACCAGGCGCTGGCGCGACTCCCCCGCTGCACAGGGTCTGGCTGCGCCCCTGCAGCCGCGGCCATGAGGGCGAAGCGATTTCTGACGGCCTCCTGCCGGCCGCCCCTTTCTGGGGTGGAGGCTTCGCCTGCGCGCTGGCCCCGCGGCCGGCCCGCGTTTTTCAATTTGTTTGTTTTCTTTGTTTGTTTGTTTGTTTGTTGTTTGTTGTTTTCCCCCCCGTTTTTGTTGTTTTTTTGTATCTCTCTCTCTCTCTATCTCTCTTTCTTTATTTCTTTATTTCTTTCTTTCTCTCTCTCTCTCTCTCTCTTTCCTGGCTTGGGGAGGCAGCGGGCGGGGCTGGGTCGGGCGGGAGCACCGGGCCCCGCGTGCGGCGACGGGGCCGTCGCCCTCTTCGGCGACGGCTCGGGCGGGCAGCTCGGCGCCAACGCGCGTCGCCGCAGGGCGTCGCCGCGGGGCGGGCGCCGCCTGCGCTGCGTCGAAGGGCTTCTCCGGGGAGTGGGCCCCGTTGGGGGGGGGGGGGGGGGGGGGGGGGGGGGGGGGCCGTCATCTCGGGCCTCGACGGGCCCATTCCGCGCAGTCCCCCGCGCGGAGCTGCTAGCCTTTGCTTAAGGCCCTCGAGAATGAATGAATGGGCCAGGCGACTTGCGTCTTATCGCGGACCATTCGCCGCTGCGCGACGGGCGGAGGCCCCGCCGACACCTGCGCCCCGACGAAGGCGCAAATCAAGGCCGGTGGCGGCGCGTGGCGACGGCGATGCGCACCCGTGGCAACGGCAGGCTCGAGGCGATTTGGGTGGCCTCACGCAGCTAGGACGCCCCAGGCATTGCAGCCGACCCCATCATATACACTTCGGGAGCGGAAAAAAGGGGGGTGATGACTAGGGGGGGTGGATTTCATGGCGCGGGCCATGATTTTTCCTCAGGTTTCATGGCGCCTCTTCTTATTTTATTACGTCCCAGGCCCCCCCGCTGGGCCGCGCACGTGCCGCCGGTCATGATTTGCACCCCCCCCTCTTGGACACCCCCCTCTTGGCCGCTCCCGAACTCCCGCGCGCCAGGCAAGGCGCGCGCCGACGCGCGGGCAGGCGCGGCTGCCCGCCGAGCATGGGGGGCCGCGCTGGGCGGAGAGGCGCCGCCCACGGACCTGCGCGACGCCCGCCGCGCCCTCGCCCGCCGAAAGGGGGCGGCGGGCACTCGCCAGCGCGCTCGCGCGGCCGGCCCGCGGGCGGCCGGGAGGCCCTCCTCCTCCTCCTCCTCCTCCTCCTCCTCCTCCTCCTCCTCCTCCTCCTCCTCCTCCTCCTCCTCCTCCCTCCTCCCTCCTCCCTCCTCCCTCCTCCCTCCTCCCTCCTCCCTCCTCCCTCCTCCCTGCGGGCTCGCGGCCCGCGCCGAGCCAGGCTGCGGCATGCCCTCCCGTCGAGCGCGCGCGCGAGCTCGCGCTCCGCGCGGGCAAGTGCAGCTGCTCGCGCTGCTGGGTCGCGCCCGGCAGGCGCAGCGCGCCTTGGCGCCATGGGCCCCCGAGCCCGCCTCGGGCGAGCACGTGGCGCCGCCGCTGGGCACTGTCGCCATTGGCGGGCGCGGGCCGCATGAATCCCACAAGCCTGATTTCATGCATGAGTACTGCCTGTACTTGTGTCGCCTGTGCGGTAAGACGGCGGCGGAGGACCCCCGCGTTTGCCCTGCCGTGCTCGGGTCTCGCTCGGAAAAGGGCGCGAGAACCTGGCGAAGATTGACCGTGGCCAAGTTCCCCGCGCCCACGTTGGACGCGTTTTCTCTCTCCTTCGTGCGTCCCTCCCTCTCCTTCGTGCGCCCTCTCTCCCCAAAATGTGAACTCATGAATTACATTGCGCCTGCCGGCGCGCCTGTGGGCATGCGCTTGTAGTCTGTCTGTCTGTGTGTCATGCGGGACGCGACGGCCTCGCTGCACAGATGCGGGCAGCTACCCACGGCGTGTCCGTGGACGATTTTGTAGCCGCCGCAGCACCCGCTGCTGTTGCGAGCATTCCGTTACGTAGCACCCCGCAGTTGCGGATGAGAGTGAGGGGGCGGCGGGGACGTCTGCAGTCTGCGATGCTCTGAAGAAGCCCGCCGCAGGCGCAACGTTTTCAAGTATACAACGAGCCCGCCGCAGGCGCCGATTTTTGGTTAAGACAATATAGGTGGGTCGCGGGTTGGGTCGCAGGTGGGTCGCGGGTGGGTCGACGGTGGGTCGCGGGCCAGGTCGCGGGTGGGTCGCGGGTAGGTCGCGGGTGGGTCGCGGGTGGGTCGCGAGCGGGTCGCAGGGTGGGTCGCCGGTGGGTCGCGGGGTCGGTCGCGGGTCGGTCGCGGGCCAGGTCGCGGGGGGGACGACGACAACAAACAACAAACAACAAACAAAAAAAAACAACGACAAACACAACAACAACAACAACAACAACAACAACAACAACAACAACAACAACAACAACAACAATCATTTTACCCGAACGCGTGGTGTTCTCCCCAGTGCCAGGGTTTTCATACGACACCAGGCAATACCCCCACTTCGTGGGGGGGCATTACAAGCTCTACCAAATATCCAAACGACTCTTCGCGACCACCCAAACCCAGCTTCCCGCCCTATGACGTTGGGACACTTCACTTCGTGGCGTGCGGACGACCGTGGCTACTACACTGGCGTGGGGTACACACCCACAGAACTTGGTCACTTATTCGGGGCGCGCATGTGCCCAGCATGGTGCAATTGTGCCATACAATACATAATACAGAGAGACAGAGAGAGAGACAGAGAGCAGACAGAGAGAGAGACAGAGAGAGCGGAGTTGGTCACATTTTTGGGTCAAGTTCCTGGGATGATGGGAATACACAACTCTGTTACATTTGATAGTGTGCACGACACACATGAGATGATACGTACTCGCAAGATAGTTGGTCACATTTGTGGAATTCCTGGGCGGATGTGGGGATACACAAATACCTTTGTTACCAGTGCTAGACATGGTACAGACACTGAGAGAGAGAAGGCGAGACAGAGGAAGAGAGCGGGAGAGAGAGACGGCGGGCTCTTGGGGCCTCTTGAAGGCCTCCTGGGGCAACCTATGGCGCAACCAGTAGGGGGACGTTTTATTCTCGGCGGCCGAGGGCGCAACCTATGACGCAACCAATAGGGGGGCGTTTTATTCTCGGCGGCCGAGGGCGCAACATATGGCGCAACCGCAAGGGATTCTGGCCCCTGGCAGGCGCGCGAACCCCGTTGCAAGAGCGTGCGAAAGTAGCTCGCGCGAGCTCATGTAACATAAATGTTGGAAAACCATTGGTTTTTTTTAGGATTCGGACAGCGCGCGCGGGTGGAAATTTTGAAAAGTCGTGCAGGTGTTTTTCGAGGACCTACGGTGCGATTCGTGTGATTTTATGATGCGCGGTGCTAGAATTCTTAAAAACCCAATGGTTTTTGGAGATTTCGGCGTGCGCGCGCGAAGAAAAAACGAATGTGTCCCGCATGGTATTATTTGACAGGGATGATGGCCCTGGCAGGTGCGCAACCGTTGTCGCAGAAGTTCGAAAAAGTTGCTCGCAAAAGCCCGTTTGACAGAAATGTTTAAAAAGTGTTGGTTTCCTACGAATCCGCAAGAGCGCGCGGGATGAGATTTTGACATTTTTTTGTTGAAAAACCATTGGTTTTTTGATGTTTTTATGTTAAAATCGCTCCGAACACTAAGCTTTTGGAAGGATTTCGTCTTGCGCGCGCGAATGTCCACTTTACCTTATTTTTTGCAAGGGATTCTTGAAATTTGATTATATTAGAACAAGAAATGTCATTTTATAGTGTTTTTTGCAAGGGAAAGCGGGGGGGAACAAAACAACCGGATCTTGATCACATCGAATTACCTGAGGCTTCCTCACGAAAATGATGAAAATGTAGCTGCGGCCTAGGCGGCGCAGGGGGGCCGTGCACCAGGGGCCCCAACAATAATTATTCTTTAGAATTAATAATGTTCAACAACAACAGCAACAGCAGCAGTAGCAACAACAACAACAACAACAACAACAACAACAACAACAACCATAACAGTAATAGCAACAGCAACAGCAACAGCAAAAGCAACCACGCATCCGCCCTTAAACCACGCACCCAGGGACAATGAATAAACGTTCGGCCCCCTCACTCTGATCAGCAGGTGCTAATTTAGTTCACCGAGCCCGCACCCTGGTGCGCCTGGTTTCTCCATTCCCCATTCTCCTCCTCGGCCTCTTCCTCTTCCTCCTCCATCTCCTCCTTCTCACAGCAGCAGCGGTGAAGAGGCGGGCCGAGGAGTAGGGTGTGGGCCCGGCGCCGGCCCAAGAAATCTGCGCGGCCGTTTGGATGGAGCAGTGTGGTCGCCCCGTCCTTCTTCTCCTCCCCCCTCCTCCCCTCCTCCTCTCCTGTTTCCTGGGTTATGTTCCTTCAGGAAGTCGATTGTTGCGCCGTTTTTTCCCTTCCGAGGACACGCTCATGTTCTCTGGCACCGTCCGCTCGAACCTCGACTTCTACGGCCGCCATTCGGACGCAGAGCTCTGGGAGGTGCTGCGGCAGGTGCGGCTGGATGTGCAGGTGCGCTCCCTTACGGACGCCCTCGGAGCTCCAGTGCAGGAGCTGTGGGCGTCCATGGTGCATGGGGGAGGAGGAGGAGGAGGAGGAGGAGGAGGAGGAGGAAGAGGAGGAAGAGGAGGAAGAGGAGGAGGAGGAGGAGGAGGAGGAGAAGGAGGATGAGGAGCATTCAGAAATGATGCCCTGGTGAGTTGTCCTGATCAGGAATGTGGAGTAGCATGCGGTGGAATAATGGGCATGGGAGGCCGAAGTGCCCAAAGAGGGGGAGGATGGAAGAGGAATCAGAGGAGGAGGAGGAGGAGGAGGAGGAGGAGCAGGCGGTTGAGGATAAGGAGGGGGAGGAGGGAGGAGGAGGAAGAGGTAGATGAGGAAGAGGACGAGGAGACAAACGAGGAAGAGGAGGAGGAGGAGAGAGAGGAGGAGGAGGGCGAGGCCTCTTGGATGCCTCTCGGAGTCTCTTTGGATGTCTTTTAAGAGCTTCGTGAAGTACTCTGGGGTGGTTCGGGGGGCCACTTAGGGTTCTCTTGGGCCTCTTGGAGCGTCCTAGGTGCCTCGGGGGGGGCCTCTTGGGCCCCTCTAGTGTGCCTCTTGGGTTTAGCGCGCCCTGGAAACGACAGGTTTTTTTGGCACCGGTTCGGTTTTGCATTTTTTTGCTGGCTCCGACGACGTGTTTGTTCCCGATTCCGGTTCCAATCCTAGAGCAGTGTTTCCGTAGTTTCCGGTCGTTGTTTTTTGGACGTTTCCAGTTTCAAGACTCTTGTTCAGAAACGTTGGACAAAAACGGCCCTGTTTTTTCCAGGGCCCACTAGGCTCTTGAGGCCCCCCGGGCGCTTCTCGGAGGTCTCTTCGGCCACTGTTGGAAGCGTTGGCGGCTATCCTGGAGACATCTTGGAGGCGTTCGATCAATGAAGGGGGAGTACTGAATCAGGGCGTTTATTGTGTGCCTTGTAGCCGATGTGTCCTTGGACGCTCTAGCGACCCGCGGCCCCTCCCCTCCAGACCCAGGGGGAGGGGACAGTGGGAGAGCGTTAAGATGAAGGGGGGTTGTAAGAGGAAGCCCGCTCAACCAGCTCCGCCCGGAGGGCTGGCGGGATAACTCTCATAGCGGGAAGTGTCTCATTGGAAGACAACCCCCAATCTCCAATCATAAACGGTTGAGAATCCTCACTCGCTCCCGCACACTATTCCTGGGTAGCCAGCGCCGCGAATCAACGTGACGATTGGCAGTCCACACTCGTGCCAGAACACCATTCCTGGGACTTCAACGCAGCGGATCAGCATGGGTGTTGCGCCTTGGCAAGCAGAAACCTTGCCCGAACACCACTCGTGGAATTCGAATCCTACTATAGGGCGACGAGATCTATGCATATCCACTGCTCCTGGCCAGGCCCATCCTGGGCCCAGGAGCGGTGTATACGCCTCCCTGGCCAAGCCAGGAGGGCGTATACACAGCTCTTGGGCCCAGGATTGGCCTGGCCGGGAGCAGTGGATATGTATAGATATCGTCGCCCTATACTAGTGCTCGAAACTGCTGCAGGCTTTTGAGACGACTCTGCGCGGGCGCGGAGGCGAGAGCACCGTGTTCACGAGGGGCCGCCCTCCGCCCGTGAGGCCGATGCGAATCAGAAAAAATGTGCCGCGCGCCAAGAGGAGGAGGAGGAGGAGGAGGAGAAGGAGGAGGGGGAGGAGGAGGAGGAGGGGGAGGAGGGGGAGGAGGGGGAGGAGGAGGAGGAATAGGAATAGGAATAGCAACATGACGATGTCAATGAAAGAGAGCAACTACCCCCCAGGCTTCCGCCGTGCAGCCCGTTCGGCTGCACTTAGAGGCTTGGGAATCACACCTCGATGGAAACGGTCCAGATAAGACCGTCTCGTATCATTGAGAGAATCAGAACCAAGACACTCTTGCCTGAGCCCCGCTTGTAGGTTGGCCGTGAAGAAAAACCCGCAAGCCCCACAGATCCAGACCCCGAGTGACTGATGAAACAACATACGGTGAGATTCGTGAGCCCACCCCCCAGCTAAGTGCAGCTTCCGTCTAGGCCCCTTAGACACCACAGAGTCGACATGCTCTAGAGGCTCGCAAGGGGATTCTAGCCACTCGTGGAGGGTGGCCTTCGTGCCGCTACTACGGCACGTGGTACACTTAAACCCACATTCGCTAAGCGTGTGAGCTGTATTAAACCTGGCTACGACCGCGGGGGAGGGCGGCGGCGGGGCAGGGGCCGAAGAGACACGACCACCAGGAGCGATCGCAGAAATCTTCGCTTCCTCACGCTCGGCGGCCGTGGCCTCCAAGGTGGCCCTGAGGAGCCTCCGCCTGATCAAAGCAGCTCGTCCCTCAACCTCCGCGATCCTAGACCGAACACTACTGGGCAACCTACACCGCTCAGCGGCCCCCGAGGCAATGGCGTCAGCCACTTCATTACCGCGCAACAACCACTCGGGAGTCTGTTTCTCGCACACATCCTGGGCGGTCTGGTGGGAGTTGACGTGCAGGACGACGATCTCGCTGAAGTCCCTGTGCTTAACCAGAGCTCCGATCTCCGCCCACAAGCCGCTCATCTCACTCTTCCCAGGATTGAAATACTGCTGAGCGTGCCACCCACGCACAACATTTTCATTATCTGAAATGTACACCGTCGGACCTGCTGACCACCTTATAGCAAGTTCCAGACACCGAAGCTCACCTCTCGGCACAGATTGAACTCGTCCTGTTAGTGGTCCTGCAATCTTGGTCCCGATGGTCATGGCGATGGGGTCGGTCATCACTACCAAGCCCAGGCCGACTCTCCTCAGCGATGGAAACCGACTCTCGGGACCACCTGAGGCATCACCGAAAATGAGTAAAGGTTGAGCCAGCGTGCCGCTGCCAAGGCACTCAGCTCCAAGTGGGCATACCAGATCAACAGCTGTCCAGTCTTCTTGCATCGCTGGCGCTGGAGTAGCCGTCATATGTCTTGGAATCAACCCACGATACCACAGACATGCATCACTGTCGCCTTGTGCCAAGGCTGCTGGTACCAACTTATCTGAGTCGGTGAAAGCTTTGGCATTAGTATTGGCATTGCATAACCACCCTCGATGCTTCATGTCCTCGGGCTCCTGCTTGCACCGAAGACACAAATTGGACTTGCACAACTTCGCTTCGAACTTCCTCGCCCGCGTCCAACACCCTCCTGTGCTAATCGTCAACATGAGTTCGGCGAGCTGATGGCCATGAGGCCCTGCACGGAGCCTAGTGAGCAGCCGTCGAAGGGAATCACTATCAGCCCCGAACTCCAGGCCGGCCCCATGATGAAGTTGGGCAGCGTCCCGCCACTGTTGAAGATCAAGACTCTGCCCAAAATCAAATAAGAAATCTGCTGTGTCAACGTGCCGCTGGTCGATACTGCTATCCTGGAAGATCCAGTCGACGGGCTCGAGACCGAACTCGTCAGACCGACACCAATGCGACGGCGACTGAGGATCCCAACCTGCGTTGACCAGGTACGTGACTATCGCAGAGATTGGCCCGTGAATATATCTCCCTCGCTCATGAATTGACAAGCTCCGCACTTGCTTGACAACGTCGTCCCACACTCTACGGACTCCTGCACGTATCTGTGGGTATTCAAACCATGTCTTGAGCCATTGATTCAAGCATAACAAAGGCAGTCGAACTCCTGGATCTTGCTGAGGTGCACGTACATCGAGTAGCGTTGTGAGACATCGCCCTCGTTGGTGCGCCCCTGATACTGAACCAAGCTGCCGCCTGAGCTGCTGCAACCGCCACCCAAACGTACCATGAACATGATGAGCATACGTCGCAGCTGCCTGAGGCCCTGCGAACTCAATTTTCTTCGTCGCCTCGTAGCACTTCGACGCGAATGCGTGTCGCCTCAGCTTCTTGTTGCAGGCGGTGGCTTTCTGAGTGCGCGCCCTTCGTGATGCTCTGGCAACTCTGCGACCACCGCCTAAGTCAACTCCGAGATAACTAACTTGAAGGACTGCCTGAATATCGATCCCTTTCTTCTTCAATACTTTAGAAACGTACTTGCTATCATTCATGCTGTCACATAAGATCACACTCTTGGGCGCCAACTTGAGCCCTGCTTGAACGACCTGATCTCGGACCAACACCACACTTTGAACAAGCGCCTTGCGAACTGCTAAGCGAGACCCTTTGTGCCCTAAGTATAAGTCATCCACCCATATACGCTGGGATGATGAGACTCTCGCCGTGCAGAGCCTGTCCAGGATGAAATGGGTTAGGCACCGCCCGAATCGCACCCCATTTCTTAACCCTTGAATGATGCTCCTGGTGGGCTGGAAAGGGGCTGCATGAGCCCCAAATTGCGCCAAAACTCTCGGCGCCGTACATAATTGAACCTCCAGCAGCAACACTATACCAGGAAATCCCAGCCGAATGGCCGCGTCGGATAGCTTGCTCCACCTGATCATGTCATAAAATGACTTGAGGTCTAATAAGGCGCACCCGTTGGAAACCCCAAGCTTCACAAATAACTCTTGATCGACTGCTTTCAAGAAAGCCTCCTGCAGCGCCGAATTGCCAGCCACTGCAGCGCCCCAGTCCGTCGCTGTGTCGGTGGACCAGCGCTTAGTGTAAGGCTCCCGAATGAGGGTGTACAGCCGACATACAATGGGCAGCAAACCGATGATACGATCACCACCCGCCTTCTTGGGTAAAAGACGACCCAAGACACATAACAATTGAGTGGGCCATGTGCCCGTATCTTCAATCATATTGAGAACTCCAGCCAAGGCGTCATGTCCTTCCGTAGGGAGCCTCTGGATGTCCAGAGGCGTCAGCTGATCAACGCCAAGGCCTGCTTTGCTTTTCATCCGAGCTGCGGCTTCCCGTACCTCATCGCCGTCGATAGGTGCGAGCCCTTGAATGCGGGCCCACTCCCTCATGTCGGCGAAGGCGGCACACAACTCGTCGATGCTGAACTCAGGATCATACCACAAATCATGCCACTTGGTGGCTTTCGCATCGATGACATCTTTGGGATGAAATAGATACTCGCCATTGTGAAAGAGCTCGTCAGTGACCGTAGGCGTATCCTTGATACTCCTGTGCAATACCCCTGACGCTTCCGATGACGACACCCACTCTTTGAACTCCGATAACGACTGCCTTAGTGCTTTGGCCGCAGCTCTCTTGGCGGCTCGCTGTGCCACCTGCAAGAAACTGTCAAGACTCCTTCCACCGTAGCTGAAGTTGTTGCAGAGAAAACTAACCCAATGCTCCCAATCACCGCTGTCGTTGTAGGGGAGCACTGCATGCACCCCCTCGGGGTAATCAGTGCCCAGTCGAACACCAAGTTCTCGAAGGTAAACTAGTTGCCTGGCGCCGTTACCCCGTTCCCGATGCCGAGAAACTTTCACTAAAACTTGAACGACTCGCGACCACCAGTTGGCAACCCTGTCTTGAAGGGGAGCCTCTCGAAAGGTAGCCGCCTGCTGTACGCGCTGCTCCCGAAGGTGGGGATCAGCCGCGCGAGAAACAGAACTAAGAGGTAAACCGTGATGACTGGATATCGTCGCCTCTAAGGTAGATACCCAACCAGCGTACAGCGCCGAGACGTGCCGAACGTGAGGCCCTGCAACTCGCACTGCTAGCGAATCATGAATGGCAGACCAGTGTGTGTAAACTTCATTGCTATCGGATGGGATGAAGCTGGATCCACAACAGGTTTGAGCCAAAACCCAACGGTCCGAAGGAACTTGGAACTCGGGGTTCCGAGGCGACGATTCAGCAACAACGGGCTCATTATTTCCAGGGGCACTCTCAGCTTGACCAGCTGAACTATCTAAGCTGCTGTTGCTGGGGGGCTCTGAAACGGGCTCAGGCTGAGACTCGTCACTCAAGTGGGGCGGACCTGGGTCGGCAGCGGACACTGACACTGCAATTGAAACGCTAGGTGCGACTGAGGAACTACTATCGGCCAATGGTTCTCCAGAGGTTCCCACGACCTCCGACTGACCAGAGAACGCCGAAATAAAACAGGTTTCCTCGGCCCACGGGTCCTCTTCCTCCTCGCCTTCGACGGGAGCAAAAGCCTCAGAAACAAAAGGCTCAGGGAAAGACTCACGCGCGCCTTCTTCATCGGGGTCCTGAAACATGTCCCCGAAGAGCTCGAGCGATTCATCGACAAATTTTTCCTTGGCGACGGCTACGCGAAACGCCTTCTCTGCTTTAGCTTTGCTACTCTTGGAACCTGGGGTGGGCAGAGTGCCTGGCCGACTCACCTGCGGGAGTTTGCCTGCAACAATGAGCGAACGTGTCACTAACTGCTGGCAGCTATGACGTAACCTCAAACGCAGTCCACAGTGCGGCCCCCAAGGAACATTATGATCGGCGCGAAGGTCGACGACAAAACTCTCGGCTCCAGGACCTGTGATGACGTAATCGATGTGCGAGGCTCCCTTCGCTGTTGTACACGTATACTCTGCTTCTGGCTTGCGGATCCTACCATGGACCCGCGCGAGGAAATGAGATTTCTGAAGAGTCTCTGCTGCCATATTGAAATCTCCAATGCACAGCCAAGGTAACTGCAGCGCATTGAGAAAGCCACCTAACCGATGAAAACGTTGATAGTTGATGGTACCGCACCTCATGCCCACTGACGGGTAACCGTACACAAGGACCAGCACCAGGGAGTACGACTGGAAATGCACTATCACTGGAAGAAATCCGTCGTAAGCTGAATGACCGTCCGCGCATAAGTCAGGCGCGTCGTCAGGCGAAACTGGAAACCGATGAACCTGAAGATGCTGCCGAAAAAGTAGAACTTCACCTCCCTCATTGGCACGCTCACGCTTGGCCTCGGTGTTGCCAAGCCCCGTGCTCCTGGCCAAGTTGAACACATGCTTGAGCTTGCTGCTGCGGAACTTCGTGGCCCACCGCTTGCTCAACGAATCTCCGATGTGTGTCTCCACTAACCCGAAAAAGTCTATTGAATTATCAGATTGCCCTGAGACCAGCGACTGGATATGCCCCCATGCCTTCTTCCCAAGACAAGTGCAGTTCGAGAAGAAGAGCGTACTGCAATCACCAGTGCTACTGCCACCATCGTTTGAAGAAATAACATCATCCAGCACTGTGCCACACCCATGCGATGTACATGTACTCGCGCTCGTGGACTGACCAGTCGCCGATGATGATGCTGTCGCTGAAGTTGCCGAACATGCTGTAGATGCTGAAGATGCCGATGTAGCAGCCGAGCTCGCAGCGCCATCGGCTGACGCGCTGCGAGGGCAGGTCTCCGCGGCGCCTCCATCCAAAGGGACGGGCGCCGCGGGCGAACATCACATGCTCGCCGCTGCGGGAGCCGCAGCTGCAACCTGCCTCGCTGCGTCAGCACCTGCGAGCCTGGCCTCACTGATCTGCTTGGCCCTCGCTGCCAAGGCCTCTTCCGAGAGACTGCCGCTGCTGCCCGAGCTCGCGCCAGGCCCGGCTGGCGGGGGCGCTGACGTGCCCTCATGAGCCGCGACCTCGGGGCCCGTCGCCGTGCCAGCGCCAGCGGTGCCACCGCCCTCAGCGCCTCCAGCGACTCCTCCAGCCTCTACCTTCCGCTTCTTCTGCAACCGCTCCTGAATGGCCGCCTTCATGGCCTTGGTCCGCTCGACCCACGCCTTCACCTCGGACGACCTCGTGGCCATTGCCGTCTGCATGTCGCGCAACTGCTTCTCCAGCTCCGCGATCTCCTTACGTTCACCTTCCTCGCACTCTAAGTCCTGGATGGACGCGAAGAAGGACTCATCAACCTCCACGCGAAAGCAGTCGCCTTCGGCGGCCTTGTCAGGGGCCTTGCCGTCGCCCGCCGCCTGCACCTGCAAGCCTGAGGCGTTGGCGAGGGCCTTGATGGCGATCTGCTTGTTGAACTCCGCCTGAGCCAAAGTGCGAGCGCACTCCGCCTCGCGCGCCTCAGCCTTGGCTAAGGCAGCCCTGCATCGCAGCACCTGGTCCACGGACTGGGCGTGCTTGGCCTCGGCGTCCTTCCACGCGCCTGAGGCCTTCCTCACGGCCTCGTCGGCAGACACGACCGACTCCGCGGGCTTCTGCGCGGCGAGAATCGCCTGCTGACTCTCCAGGACGCGCTTGACCGTCGGGTCCGTGGTGGCCGCAATGGTCTGGCTCAGCAGGTCGAGGGCGCCCTCTGGAGTGCCTCCTGCACCTCCCTGCTGCTTGCTCTTGCCCTTATGCTTAGGCCCAGGTTGGACAAGGGCGGCCGCCTGCTGCTGCTGCTGGCTGGCGTCCTGGCCCTTGGGCTTGAACAGTTTAACAGGCCTCCCGCACTTCCTGCATGCTCCTCCCTCTTGAAGCAGTACGTCGTTCCACTGATGTGTATGACACCCAGCGCACGTGCTCCAGAGTCGTCGTCCTGCAGGCGCGGAGGCCATCCCCGCTTTAGCTGCCTCGAACGCCTACGCTCACCACGTGGGAGGCGAGGCAGACCCCAAGCACCTCGGGACGGCGCGGGGCTGGCCGAGTGGTCGCGCGCAAAATGCGAGGAGAGCCCTGTGCCCTCCCTGCAACCGCTCGTGCCAGTGTTGCTTGAGGGGGAGGAGGAGGAGGAGGAGGAGGAGGAGGAGGAGGAGGAGGAGAGAGGTAGGGAGGAGGAGGAGTAGGGAGGAGGAGGAGGAGAGGGGGGAGGAGGGAGGAGCCAAATTTCAAACACCGCCCGACCCCAGCCCCCCCACGTGTAAAAGGCAGCAGCGGCGCGCCGGCCCCGCCCGGCAAGGGGGGGCCCCGGCCGCGCGCCCGCCGCACCCCCTTCCCTTCTCCTCGCTCGTCCGCCTTCTCCGCCGTTGGGCAGTCTTCGCGCTGGTAAAAGGTGAAAGGGCAGCAACCTGTTGAGACGATTGGGCGCGGCGCGGAGACGGGAGCAACGTTTTGGAGATCGCCCCGCCCTCCACCCGCGAAGTCGGCTGCGAACTCGTAGGACGCACGCGCGCGGCGCTAGCGCAGGAGCGAACATCTTGAAAGCGGCCCGCACGCCATCCGTGAAGCTCAGGCAAAAGCGGCGGCCCCGCTTCAGATCTTGAGAGCGGCGGCCCTGCTTCACATTCCCAGGTCCAGGATCAAGCATGCTGAGGAAGTCTCAGGCGACACGCCCGTCTCGCCCAGCCGACACGTCTGGGAGTGCGACAGGGAGGAGCTAGGAAAAGAAGTGGAGGAGGAGGAGGAGGAGGAGGACGAAGAAGAGGAGGAGGGTGAGGAGGAGGATCAGGAGGAGGAGGAGGACGAGCGAGAGGAGGAGGAGCATCAGGAGAAGGAGGAGGAGGAAAGGAGGAGGAGAAAGGAGGGGAGGAGGCGGAGGAGGAGGAGGAGGAGAGGGGGAGGTGAGGAGGAGGTGGAGGAGGAGGAGGATTTGAGGGGGGGGGGAAGGGAGAGGGAGGAGAGGATGGGAGGGAGGAGGAGGAGGAGGGAGGTAAGGGGAGGAGGAGGAGGAGGAGGAGGAGGAGGCGGAGGAGAGGGAGGAGGAGGGGGGGCGGGACAGGGGCGGGTGGATATCATGGTCGGGGCCATGATATCTCCTCGGGTCCCAGGGGCCCCTCTCCTTCGTTCAACCCGCACGCTGACCCCCCTTCGTCCGCTCGCATGCCTCGGACCATGGTCCGCGGACCCCCGCTCTTGGGCGCCTGGGGCGCCCAAGAGCGTAGGCTCGGGGAGGGGGCCGGCACGCCCCCCTCCCGGACGCCTCCGAAGGAGAAGGGCTCCAACTTCTCCGCGGGGACCGTGCAGCTGCTGTGCATCGCCCGCGTGCTGCTCGGAAGGCAGCGCGCCGTGTTCCTGGACGAGTGCACCGCCAGCGTAGACTACGAGACCGACGCGCTGGTGCAGGCATCGGTCCGGGAGGTGATGGCCGGCCGCGCCGTCGTCTGCATCGCGCACCGCTTGCACACCATCATCGACTACGACCGCGTCCCCGGAGGAGGAAAGGAGGCACCTGTACCAGCTGTCGGAGCTCCGCACGCACT